CCAGTCCTCAGTCTCAGAGCCTGCCCACTGTCCAGCGGCTGGACAGTGATGGGGGCTTTGGATCAGGGTTCTGATCTTGGAGAAGTCAGGACATCCACTCCCTCTCCAAGCTCCAGCCTGATATTCCGAAGCCTTCCATTTATTTCACTGTCTGTATTTGTGTTCTACTGTTGCATTAAAAATTACCACAAACTTAGCAGTTTAAAACAACACGTATTTATTTATTTATTTTTATTTTTATTTTTATTTTTGAGACAGAGTCTTGTTCTGTCACCCAGGCTGGAGTGCAGTGGTATGATCTCGGCTCACTGCAACCTCTGCCTCCTGGGTTCAAGCAATTCTTCTGCCTCAGCCCCCCAAGTAGCTGGGATTACAGGCACGCACCACAACGCCTGGCTAATTTTTGTATTTTTGGTAGAGATGGGGTTTCACTATGTTGCCCAGGCTGGTCTCAAAAACTCCAGACCTCAGGTGATCTGGGTGAGCCACCACACCCAGCCAACACACCTTTATTATCTCACAGTTTCTGTGGTTGAGTCGTCTGAGCACAGCTTACCTGGATCCTCTGCTCAGGGTCTCACAAGACTGTAATGAAGGTGTCAACTCAGCTGTGATCTCATCTGGAGGCTCAAGTGGGGAAGAACCTGTTTCCACCTATGCACTTCCTTGCAGCTGTGTGATGGGGACCCTAGCTTTTCTGCTGCTAGTTGTAGGCCACCTTCAGGTTCTAGAGGCTGCCTCTGGCCTTTACCAGGTGGGCTTTCATGAGTTAGCCGCTTACTCCGTCAAGCCTGCAGGGAGAGACACTCTACTCAGGATGAGCCCAGTCCCTGTTACAAGGGTTTTCACCTGATTGAGCCAGGCCTGCACAAGATAGTCTGTTTTTATTAACTGAAAGTCAACTGATTTGGGGCCTCAATTACATTTGCAAAATCCCTTCACCTTTGCCAGATTCTGTTGGTTAGAAATAAGTCACTGATGCCCCCATACCAAGGGGAGGATTTATATAGGGTGTGGCCACCACACTGTTGGCTGCCTTCCTGGAAGTGAAGGCTCCAGTTCCGCTGAAAAGAAACTGAAGCCCCAGGCAGTGTAGAACAGCCTTGAGACACAGCCTTCTGTGTTCAGAGCCTCTGGAAGCTCAGCACAGCCTTCCAGGGCTCAGAGCCTCTGGAAGGAGGACTGACATGGATGGGGCTGTGGACTGGTCTACAGGGGGTGTGCAGGGGGTGGCTGAGAGAGATTGGTAGGGAAGAGATGTCCTCGGGGAAGGGTGGGCCTCTCAGGCAGCACAGATAAGTGAGGGAGGGGTGGGGGTAGCAGGCTCTGAGAGTGCCCTGCAGATGTCTGGTATGGGGAGAAAATCATTGAATTCCTCCATTTCCAGCTGAGAGGTCCCCAGAGACAGGGACCCCTCCCTCTCATGTCAGCCCATTACATCATGGTCCCTTGCTCTGCACCCCCATCGTTGGCATCAGGGGACCCCACCCACCTTCTTTCCACTCGGGTTTCACAGGCATCTAGGAGATCAGCTAAGGGGCAGCTGGCCTGGCACTGTATGTCCCAACCGAGGGACAGTGGGAGGATTGTCATGGGGCAGACGTGACCTCAGCTCGCTGGGCTCAACTCATCCTGCTCCAGGAAAGGACAGTGTCACAGAGGAACAAACACCCACTGTGCTGGGTCTCCTCTTCCCTGAGGGGTTCAGACCCAGGCAGGGACCCTCTTGGCAGGGTCAGAGCCTTCAGTGCCTACAAGCCTGCCTGCTCCAGCCAGGCCAAGAGGAGCCCCAACCCTGTGCCACTTACCAGGCCCTGGGCCTGCCTGCATACCCTCCTCACACCCTGGGCCTACCTGCTACTCAGCCTAACCTGAGAGCCCAAGCCCACCCTCCACCCAGAACCAAGACCCTCAGCCACCCCCAGCCTCTGCTTAGGTCCTGAGCAAGGAGGGGTGCTGGAGCAGGTATGTGCCATGCGCTGTGGTCCCTCACTTCTGAACAACCCCTCTGAGCTGTCCTGAGCTGGGTTTCTCAGGCCCCCAGCCTGGGCACAGGTTGTCCCATTGCACTTCACCTTCCGATGCCATCCACGGAAACCAGCTTTGGCTAACTCACATAGAAAAGGATTGTAATGAAAGGATATGGGGCGGCTTAGTGGGTTATCAGGAAGGCTGGAGAGCCAGGCAGGAACCAGGGAGGGGTACAGCTGGATCTCGCCACGGGGGTGGTGTACCTGGACCTGCCACCCCTGGAGAGGCGCTGCTGGATTCTTGAGTTCTTGCAGCCCCACCAATTCTCACTGCCTCTCCCTGAAGCCTGGCAGCACTCCTTCCAGATTCAAAGTCCAGAGAGAAGGGGCCAGTGGGTTAAGCCCATGTCTTATCACTGTGGCCAAAGAGTGGGGAGGAGGCACCAGCCCACATCATCTCTCATGGTGGGAGGACGTGGGCTCTGCTCCGTCTCTGTGAGTCCCCCAGTAAAGGAAGGGTATTCAGATGTTGGGCCTCAGTGTGGCCCCCAAACCCCAGGAGAGCCTCTCATCATGACACTTGGGGCTCGGTCCTGCCAGTGCTCAGTGGACCATGCTGTCAGGGTCATGGTCTCCCTGACTGGTCTGAGATCACCCGAAGGCAGGTCACTCCTGGGACCTGGCCAGCACAGCACCTGTGCACTGTCAAATATATGGAGATGACATTTCCTATCTGTGTCCCATGGCCCCGGGTTTCTGAATGTCACTATATTTGGTGCTAGGCTCACAGACTCGTCTACAATTAGTGTTTTAACCCTCCAGTGACAGGGCCACCCTCAGAGCCATTAGATGTGGGATTTCTTCTGTGATTGTAAGAGATTCCTTATTAAATTGCTTTGTGGCACTGAGCGAGGACACAGGGCTGTGTCCCCAGAGACTCCCTGGCCTAGGCTGGGCCAGGTGGGGTGTAGATAACATGGAGCTGCACCCTTCCTGGTGCTGCTTCTAGAAAGCAGCCAGTGTCCCAGAGGCTGTGCTGGAGAGGCCAGTAGGCCAGGGCACCATAGCCCAGCCATGCTGGCGGGAGAGAGATGTTCTCTTCACCCTAGATCTAGAGGCGTCTCTTCCTCCCACTGCTCAGGGAATGGGCTGGGGAAGGACTGGGGTGTGCTGGTCCCTGTCACAGTTCTGCTCTAGCCTCCTGCCCTTGCTGACTCAGCCTGCCTGCTCCAGCTCTCTGAGCACTGAACCTGCACATGGAATGGGGGCCATGGTGCACCCCTTCTGCCCCTGCACCACCATCCCCCCGACTGCATAAGGCTCTGCGGGTCAGCAGAGGAGGAGCGGAACCAAGAGGTGGCAGTGGCAAGAGGTAATTTCTGCTGGAGCCGGTCCTGACCCCTGACTCTCCTTGTGAGATGCAGAGGCTGATCCAGGGCTTCTTGGCTTGGCCTGCTAACTGCTCACCTTAGGAATTTGCCCCCCAAGTGACGGGATCCGATTGCACATTCCTGAAGCCTGAGTCATTCCTGGGTCCTGCTCAGACTCAGGAATGTGTTTATGCTTGTGGGGCTGGAGGGACACACATACCACGTGTCTGCTCACTCGGGATTTGGAAGGGATGAGGGCTCTTCTCAAGGATAAGAGGGATGAGGTGGTGACCTCTTTGGAGTCGCTGAGATGCTGCAGTATGTGGGCCACAAAGGAGCAAATGAAGGGAGGGCCAGACTCAGGCTGGAACCAAAGCCTTTGGCTTGTATAGAGTTGGCTTTAACTTGCTCCCAAGGGACAGAAAATAGAGAGGAGCAGTCCAAGCAGGACATCCCCTGCAGTGACCTTGGGAAAGGTACTTGCTCCCTCATCACCTCCTCCCACCAAGGGCAACCTCCAAAAGGGCACAGCTTGGTGAGGCTGTGGCTGCCACCTCAGAGCCGTGGTTGTGGAGCTCAGCTCCTCCTCCCACTCTGTCCAGAGCTCTCTGTTGACAAGTTGATGGTTCTCATCTAGGTCCAATGTGAGCCTCTGCAGCTGTGGAGAGAGTTCACAGGCATGGCTCACATCTCTGAGGGTTTATTCAGAGCTCAGTGCTATGCCACCATTTGCCTGGGACAATCCCAGGTTACCAGTACAATGATCAACAGTGCCTCTTTTTACTCTCGAGAGTTTCCCGGTCTGGAAGATAACTGTATATTTGCCTTAACTCTACAAGCGTAATTTAATCCCTACAATGCACTACAAGAAGAGCACTGCTAATAGCATCATTTTCTGATGAAGAAACAGAGGTTCAGAGAAGATAAGTAACTTGCCCAAGGTCACACAATTAGCAGATGGCAGATCCGGAAACATAGGAACTCAGCATTTGACTTCAAAGCCTCTTTGCTTTGCTACAACATCAGATTTCCTGTTCTAAAATCCATTGCTTGATGCTTTGAAGGACCAAGAAGCTGATATCTCCGAATACTAGTAAAATAACCATTAACGTCCTGCAGTGATCCCAGCTCTCCTCACAGCCCCACGCTTGGCCATTTAGCCTCATTCCTTTCCCAAGTGACAGAGTACACAATACTGTTCGCTTGCAGCAGCAGCCCCGTCATGGGATGAATACACACCATCGTGCCTACTGTGTGTCAGGCGCGGCACCTACTGTGTGCCAGACATGGCACATGTCGTCTGACCCTGACACAACCCTGTATGGTGGGTGTTGCTCCTCGTTTCATGGAAAGGAGACCCCTAGAAGTCACACAGCTGGGAGGAGGCAGGGCTGGGGCTAGAACTCACAGATCCTGGCTTTGAGCCTAGCAAACACTCTGCAGTGCCATACACAGTGGCTACACTGCCAAGGCCCGTCACAGGCTCTGAGCTTCCAGTGTCCTCATGGCAAGATGTAAACACATCTTGTGTTTACGTGTGTGGACTCACAGGCCCTCAAGGTATTTCCTCCTCCAAGGAGCCTGGACCGTCCTGCCCTTTGAGGGGGTCTGAGGCCAGTTCTCAAAATGTCTTCGCAATCCACACACATCACATTTAAGAGGCTTTTGGACAATGTTTTTATTTCTTTGGCGGGAAAGATCAGACATCTTTCAGAACAGAGCACGGCCACCTTGAAGCTGGGGAAGGGGCTGTTTCTGAAGCTCAGGCCTTCCCCGTCCAGTTTCTCTGCCCAGAGACCATCTCAGTGTGACAGCCTCTTCCCACTCCAACACACCGGCCTCTGGGGAGGAAGAAATAAAAGCAAGCGCATTCCAGATGTTCCCGGGAAAATGGTATTCGGGAAAAGGATGTTTGTTTAGAATTTACCAAAAATAGAGAGCCCCAAAAGAGGAAAAGGCAACCTCTTGACCCATTTAAACAGCCATTTCCCAGGAAGAACTTTCTACCAAACAATGTCACAAAAAGAAAAGCTAATAGCTTTGACAATATAATAATATAAAGCTTTGGTACATTCGAAGCCTCCAAAAGCAAAAATTAAGCAACACGTATATGCAACAGATATCAAAATGACAACATACAGGGAGCTCATCAAATGATTTTTAAATAAATCCATCAAAACCTTGTTAGGAAAATAGGCAAAGAAAACAGATAATCAACCAAGAAAGTTTTAAATGGCTTAATAAGTATGAACATTTGCATTTCATTAATAATCATATAAATTATAATTTTGAAATACCATTATTTCCCTTTCAGATAATGAGACTAGCTTTGTTGGTGTTACCATAAGCTGGTGTAGACCATAACACCAGCCCTCTCAAACCTGGGCTGAGGTTGGCATGTAAGTCAGAGGCAACCCTTTTGGAAACATTTTGGCAACACATATCAAGGCTATTTTACTACAAAATGTAAATGTCTTGAAATTTTCTCTGAGGAAACATTGAGAAATTCAGACCAAAAAATTATGTACAAAGATGATTGATAAAGGGGGTATTGAATAGTAAAACATGGAAGCCCAGATATTCTACAATAGGTGAATAAATGCATTATGATATGTCTGTATGATCATAGGACACAGTCATTTAAAATGGTCTTTTCGAAGAGTGTTTATGCAAAGGAAAAGAAACGAAAGTGAAAAAAGTAGTCCGTGGCTGGGCGTGGTGGCTCATGCCTGTAATCCCAGCACTTTGGGAGGCTGTGGCAGGCGGATCATGAGGTCAGGAGATCGAGACCATCCTGGCTAACACGGTGAAACCCTGTCTCTACTAAAAATACAAAAAATTAGCTGGGTGTGGTGGCGGGCGCCTGTAGTCCCAGCTACTCGAGAGGCTGAGGCAGGAGAATGGTGTGAACCCGGGAGGTGGAGCTTGCAGTGAGCGGAGATCTCCCACTGCACTCCAACCTGGGCAACAGAGCAAGACTCTGTCTCAAAAAGAAAAAGAAAAAAAAAAAAAAGGAGGCTGCAAAGAGTACGAGCCCAGTCTTAGAAAGCATGTGTAGATGAATAAATGACATGGCCACATAGAAACATAATGGCCATCAACCACACCCATTTGTGGCAGGGAGAGCAAGACCCTGACACCATCCCCTGCTCTCCTGAGGATGGTAGGGATACCACGAGCCCATTTAATGTTTCAGAGGGTAGAGGTGAGGCTGGGAACCTGGGAGGAGCCTGGCGAAAGGTTGATGGGGAGAGGGCAGGAGAGCAGGATGTTTGGGTTCACCAATGACAGTGGCCATGGTCCCATGGTAGGTCAGTAGCCCAGAAAGTATCAGAGACCATGGATTAAGAATCAGACCACTGTGCACTTGGGAGGCTGAGGCAGGAGAATGGCGTGAACCCGGGAGGCGGAGCTTGAACCCAGGAGCCGAAGCTTGCAGTGAGACAAGATCACGCCACTGCACTCCAGCCTGGGCAACAGAGCAAGACTCTGTCTCAAAAAAAAAAAAGAGAAAAAAAAGAATCAGACAACTGTGAGGGGTGCAGTCCAAGTGGCCAGGAGCTCTTGGGAGCCTGACCACCGAGCCTAGTGCCTTGGCAGAGGGGATGTCATGCGTGGGCAGCTCTGTTCTGGGAAGGAAAGCTTCTCCCTGCCTGAATGTCCAGGACTCTTCCACCAACCATCTGGCCGTTCCACAGTCTCCTCTACGCAGGACATGGGACACCTTGGGGTGGGGATAGGAGGCACTCTCATTCAATCTTCGGGGACCAGCCTGTGAACACTAGGGCACCCCAAGCTGGTCACCAAGGGAAGTGGACCTGTCTCTCCAAGATGTTAAAAAAAAAAAAAAGGACCAAAATATAGTTTACAATAGGCGACAGGCTTAAAAGTGATGTTAATTGTCTATGCTTTTCTATATTTTCTTAATTGTCTATATCAAGCAATATTACTTCTATAATTGGAACAAACAATAAGGGCTACTTTTGAAATAATATACATGCTTTTATCTCATACCAAGAAACAGCGTCTTCTGAATTATTCCAAGCCGATTTTTTTTTTTTTTTAATATGGAGTCTTGCTCTGTCGTTTAGGCTGGATTGCAGTGGCACCATGTCAGCTTACTGCAACCTTCGCCTCCTGGGTTCAAGCAATTCTCCTGCCTCAGCCTTTGCAGTAGCTGGATTACAGGCGCCTGCCACCACGTCCGGCTATTTTTTTTTGTATTTTTAGTAGAGATGGGGTTTCACCACGTTGGCCAGGCTGGTCTCGAATTCCTGACCTGAAGTCCTGCCTCGGCCTCCCAAAGCCGATTTTTTTTGGGATTACACGGGTGAGCCACCACACCTGGCCTTCCAAGCTGATTTTTCTGCTGGCAGCTCACAAGGCCCCAGGTTTCCAGCTCCCTCCTTGGAGCTCACGTCAGCCCATGTGGCAGCTTGCAGCCCCTCTGCCCTCCTCTCTGGCCTGTCAGTATCATCTCAAAAAGCAAGCTCTCTAAAGCCATGTGTGGCGAAGGCACAGGACATCTCTACTCAGAGGGCTTGCTTGAGGTCCCCCTAACCTCACAGAGGCCTGTCCCCAAGGTCCCAGGCTGAGGCAGGCTCAGCATTCTGAGAGCCTGACTTCCCCAGGGGGAAGGCTGCCAGGTGGAGGAAGTCCAGGGTGTTCATGCTTGTCTCATGATCTCCAGAGGGGACCAGATGCTGACCACTGAGGCGGCAGGGCTAGGCCCAAAGTCACCACTAAACCAGCACCTGTCTCTCCATCTCTTCCATCCAGGCATCAAACTCTCTCTCCTTTCTGCTCCTTCTTCAGCCTTAGCCTTGCCCTGGGGGCCACAGAATGGACCACTAGCCCTGCTTTGCATGGATGGGTACATAGATTTGTCAGCAATGAGTACATCCCCAGTCTGAGCCTTCACTTCTCAGAACAGCCCATCCCAAGTTCAGCCACTCCTCATGGTCACTACCAGGGCCTTCACCGTCCAACACATCCTCATCTGAGCACCCTGCAGGGTGCCAATGTCTCTTTGAAACTGTGCTGTTAGGGGGCTCTGACATGGGCAAGACCTCCAACCTCCCGCACTCTTGGCACTAAACCTCTATGGAACATGACCTAGAGGCCGAGCTTTCCTGGGGCTCCTCACATGTTCCCTGTCAATGAGCTCTGCTCCCCTGCATGCTGGGTAGGCACTGCTACAGGCTGCTGGTGAAGAGATCAGACCTGGCATCGGTTGACTCTGAAATTGACAGAGGAATGAGATCCCCATAAGCGGCAGCTAGTCGCTGAGGCTGGACAACTTCCAAGGGTGAGGATGGCCTGTGTTAGCTCTAAGGTCTCTTGCAGATCTGAAAACACCAAGTTCTAGGGTGATAAGCATGCCCAACCCTGAGATTCAGAGGATAGAGAATTCTAAGTGGCTCAAATCCTAAGGTAGTGAGGCATGGACCAGACCATGCCCTTCCTGAACAGGGCTGCTTCCAGAACTGGAGGACTTGCAGCCGTGGGACCCAGACTCCTCACAGCTGGGGGAGGGGGACTCCTCACAGCCGGGGGAGGGGGACTCCTCACAGCTGGGGGAGGGGGACTTCTCACAGCTGGGGGTGATGGAGGGCGGGATTTTGGGGGAATTGGGGTGGGAGCAGTTGAGGGTTTCCTGCCTCACATGAAGAGAGAGATGACTGAGACTCCTGGGGGTCCTGGATTCCCCAGTAGCTCCCCCTGGACCAATGGGTCCCAGCAGCTCTTAGTTCATTGCTGTGTCCAGGAGTCTGGTGAAGAGTTAATGCTCAATTAACATCTGGAGATGAATGAATGAAGGAGGGTAGCACGTCAGAGACCACCCAGGTCTCAGCAGCTCTTAGGCTGCCCGTGCTGGAGTCACCCCGCCCTCCAGGCAGGCAGATGGGGCTGCTGAGGTAGAGGCTGGAGGCATTTGGCCCTGGTTTTCCTGTCTGAGTGGTTTGCACCCCCGGGCTCTGTGTGTGTACTTTGGTGCAGTTGTGGCCCCAGACTTGAGACTAATCCTCATTCCCCATATCTTCCTCACTTCTGAGTCAGCTGTGAGCTCCACCTGTACCCAAACTTCCAGGGTCTCAGGAGAGACCAGTGGTGTGTGAGGGGCATCCTCTGTTTGCTCTTTGCTGAGGCTGGAGCCACCTTCTATCACAGACTGTCATAGCTTCTCAGGGCTGTCCTTCTCTGTAGAAGGACAATGGGACCTGATGCCTGTGGGCCCTGCCTCACCCCCTCATCCTGGAGCAGCCACCCGGCCTCACTCCCCTTGGTGATCTCTTGTTCCAGTTGTTGCTCTGTCAACTTCATCAGGTCACACCCCCATACTCCACCTCTTCCTCATGGCCTGGCCTGGCCCATCTGACAGGTTCTCTCATAGGCAGAACTGGACATGTGGCTGGGCCAGGCTGGACAGCTGGGCCCCTGTGAATTTCCACAAATCCAGAGTCAAGCTGGTGTGGATCCAGTGAGAACTTATCAAACACCTGGGCACCTGAGCTAGGCTAGACACCCAAGGACACCAACTTTGGCAATCCTTATTGGGACCCTGGAAAGTGCAATTTATTGTCTCTCCTTGGCATTAAACTGATGCTCAAAGAGATGGACCTCCTGGACCAAGGACAAAGAGCACAATCTGGACTCTATACAGACTTGTTTAGGTGCAAAGATTCCTACTCAATAAAGGGAAGGGAATCCAGGAAACCGCATCTCCCTACTTCCCGGCCCAGCGTTTGTCCATCAGGCTGCCCAGGTCCCCATGCTGCTACAGGAGCCCTGATGATGAGTGTCGCAGAGCCCATGGGAGGAATGCCAGCCTCAGGCCAGGATAGCCAGGCAGGCTGGTCACGTTGGGAGGCCTGGATTCAGCCAGCCAGGCCCTGATAGCTTACAGCTGCTCCAAATGCAGGAGGCGGAATCAGAGCCCACCCCAGCCACTGGAGAGGGACGCCTCCATCTGTGCCTGTGTTCCTGGGGTGCCGCCAGCCCTCTCCTCCATGGGAGCTGCCAAGGAAAGAGCCCTTTTGTCATCTTCCCAGGCAAGAACAGCTATCCCGTGGCACTCACTCCCTGCACACTCCAAGGCCTCTCTCCTGCTTCATGGAAACGGGATTGAGTCTTGCCTGAAGCTGTGCACCACCAGACCACAAAAAGCCTCAAATATGGGTGTGGCCACCAGCCCCAGAGAGCCACAAGCACTCGGATTCTGGGAGCCCCGAGACTTGGAAGTTGCCCGTGGTACCAGGGCCAGGTGTTGATTGTCAGCATTCTGGCTGGCCACACATGTTGCTGACACTTTGCGCGTTTGGAGCTCTGGATGACCACTGTGTGTGTTTGTTTTGAGACAGGGTCTTGCTCTGTCACCCAGGCTGGAGCACAGTGCCGCGATCTCGGCTCACTGCAACCTCTGCCTCCTGTGTTCAAGTGATTCTCATGCCTCAGCCTCCCAAAAATGTAGACATGTGCCACCATGCCCAGTTAATTTTTGTATTTTTAGTAGAGACGTGGTTTCATCACGTTGGTCAGGCCAGACTTGAATTCCTGGCCTCAAGCAATCTGCCCACCTCTGCCTCCCAAAGTGCTGGGATTACAGGCCTGAGTCACTGCACCTGGCCCTGTGTGATCCTTCTGAGAGTTTCTGAGCAGCGAACACCCCAGGTGGCTGCATAGGGGAGACTGTAAAATCTGACAGCAGCTAGCGGTCCTAGGGGGACGGTTCAACATCACATCCCATGGATGGTCCAAGGACAGAGCAGCCCCAGCATTGAGGCCAGAAAGCTGGCCCTGGAGGAAGTTGGTTCCTATCCTGTGCCTCTAGGCTGGGGTGAAGGTTTCCAGGAGGACACCTCCCTTGATCACACTGTTCTCCCAAGCACCCCTCTCGCATACGTGCCCAGATCCGCAGCCCCCAGAGGGCTACAAAAGTTAGCCAGGTGTGGCGACGCATGTCTGTAATCCCAGCTTTTTGGGAGGCTGAGGCACTAGAATCACTTGAACCTGGGAGGCAGAGGTTGCATCACAAAATCCATCACAACCCCTGGGTTTCCTCAAGGGATTCCCCGTCTGGCCATCTACCTCCCCTGACCCACCCCACCCATTCCTACTTCCCCTTTCGGACTTGTCCCTCTCTTCTGACCTCCTCCATCCATCGCTCTTCTAGCCGTCACTCACCTGCATCACCGCAGTGACTCCCTGGCCGCTCTGTCCCTGCCCGGCTCAGACTTCCCTACACAGCCAGGAGTAAGCCCAGGACAGCGTGTCCCTCCTCTGATCAAGAGCTTCCAAGGGCTCTGCATCAGGATCAGTTTCCCAGGGCAGTCATAGCAAATGACCACAAACTGGGTGGCTTGAAAAGTCTCCTCTCACAGCCCTGGAGACCAGAAGTCTGAAGTCGAGGTGTCAGCAGGACCCCGCTCCCTAGGAGGGTCCTTCTTCACCTCTTCCCGCTCCTGGCGTTCCCCTGCTGGTGGCAGCACCACGCCTATCCCTGCCTCAGCCTTCAGTTGGCCTTCTCTTCTCCGCTGTGTGTCTCTTACAGAAACACCTGTGATTGGATTTAAGGCCCACCTGGATAACACAGGATTATCTCATCTTGAGATCCTTAATTTAATTTCATCTGCAGATTCCTTTTCCAAATAAGGTCACATTCACACATTCCAGGGGTTAGGATGTGAACATGGCTTTTTTGGGGGGAATAATTCAACCCGATACTACCTCCCTAAGGAAAATCCCAAGTCATTACTCTGTGCTTTGAGGCCTTTCAGGATCTGGCCTCATCCCTGACCTCCGACCTCCCGCTGTCTACCCCACCACCCCTGACCTCCAGCCCTGTCCCCCCGACCCCCGCCGTCTCCCTAGCACACCATGTTCCTGCTTCGGGGCCTTGGCAGGTGCTGGCCTTTCCCCCAAGGTCCACATGCTTCCTCTATCACTGTCGTGAGGTTTAGCCGATTGTTTTGTACGGCTAGGCCCTCCCTGGCCACGTTGTCTAAACTTGCAGCCTTCCCAGAACACTCCCTCTTCCTCACCTGCCTTCTCTCTTCCCTAGCACTCATCACCATCACACACGCCAGCCTTCTCATTTATGTCGTTCATTGTCTCCCCTCCCCTAGGCCGCAGGCTTGTTTTTTCAGTTTTGTTCACTGCTGTGTCCCAGCGACTAGAACAACGCTTGACACTAGTCGGCCTTGGCTGAATGAATGAGTGAATGAATGAGCAAGAGTTTGCTCAGGCTGAACTCTGAGCTGCCGGAAGCCTTTGTAGACACCCCCAGAACATGCTGGACCCACCTCTGAGCTCCTGGTGTACTTCGATTCTCACGAGGCCCCCACACTTCAGCCTCTGGTGATCCTCTTTTCCATCCTGACATGTTGGCTCACCAAACACTCCCTGAGCCCACATCATGAGTCACCAGAGGCCCTTGACCCTTCCTTCCACATCCTTCCCCACTGCGCCCGCTCTCACCCTGGTCATATTTAGCCAAGTGTGTGCAGGGAACTATGTATGAAGGTCAGGCCTGCCCTGCGGCCCCTGCTGGTCCCTGGAGCCGCCGGGGGGATGGAAGAGTGGGTCCTTTTGATGCACTCAAGCCTGGGATATGGGCCCCCAGGGCAGGCATTGAAGGAATGTACAAGAGTTGCCCCAGGGCCTGCAACACTAACTGTGAGGAGTTCCCCAAAACTTCCCTGATTCCACAGCCTCCATTTCAGAAGAGGGACACGGGCTTCTTGCCATGTCTCTGCTGCCAATGGGCTCTGTGACTGGCACCATTTCCCTCCTGTTGCTGGTCCCCAGTTTTGTCATCTCAAATCTGGGCATTGATCCCCTCGGGGATGGCTACAATAGGTTGCATCGTACACATTCCAACTCAGATGGCTCTGGCTGTGGCACTGGGTTGAGAAGAATTCTGAGGTTCAATCCAGGCTTAACAGGAAACAGGTGTGGTGAGCCATTAGTGACATCTGCCATGGGTGTAGGGGACAGTGGGGGCCCAGGTGTGCTAAGGCTGGGTTAGATGCTTTGTGACTGGGCTTTGGGCAATACGTCCACGTGAGTCTATGGACACCTGATGATAGAGAGAAGATCCTGGAGGAGGTGAATGAGTCTGAAATGAGTGGCTGATGGCATCACAAATCCTTTTTGAGTTTACTTTGGTGCATCTGAGGCAGCTGGTATGCCCTTCCTGCTGGGACGGCATCAATGACCCATTGGAGAGATGGTTCCTTCCCTACGCTGGGGTTGAAGTCGCAGGGCAGTTAGGTGAGGGCCCTGCTCTGTGTTTTGTCTCTCAGCTGGCCATAGTGCTTGGTGGTGGAGGCTGTCCTCTGGCTCAGGATTTGCAGCAACAAGGCCAGCCTCTAGCTGGGCCTAGCCAAGTGCCCTCTGAGACTCGCTGGAAGTGAGATCCCCTGTCTCAATCCATTCAGGCTGCTACAACAAAATACCACGGATGGGGTGGCTTAGAAATGGCAGACACGTATTTCTCACAGTTCTGGAGGCTGAAAGTCCCAGATCAAGGTGTCAGCAGCTCCCGTGTCTGGGAGGGCTGGCTCTCTGCTTCCTGGATGCGGCTGTCTTGCTTCATCGTCATGTGATGGAAGGTGCCGGGGGTTTTCCTCAGGCCTCCTTTATAAGGGCGTGAATCCCAATCAGCAGGGCTCTGCCCCATGCCCCAGTCTGTTCCAAAGACCCCACTCCCATACTCTCACCTTGCTGGTGAGGATTTCAACATATACGTTGTAGGGGGTACAAAAACACTCAGACCATAGCGTCTTCTCGGGATAGACACAGAGCCTGGCACGCCACTTACCTGAACAAGGGAGACATTCTTGTAGCCAGCACAGCCGGATCAGGGAGTGAGAGCCTCAGCAGCCTTGGGAGAAGGTGCCCTAATGTGACATGGGTCTCAGTTTCCCAGCTGTGGCCAGAGATCACAGCAGCTGTCTCCTTTTCAGGCTGGACAGATGGCTGCAACCTGCAGAAATGCCATGGCCCTGGGACAGAGCTGTGTCTACCCTGGGGCGGAGCTGTGTGTACCCACAGGAAGGAGGATCCTTTTCTAATCCACACAAAGGTGCCCTGGGGATCCAGGTCATGCATAGAAAACTCCTCACCAGTCACTCACCAGGAGCAGAACGCTATTATCGGTATTATCGTCATCCTCACAGTGACTCCTGCTCTAACAGAGGCACGTAGGCACAGAAAGGGGGAGACATTTCCCTGAGGCAGCAGGAGGGCTTCCTGGAGGAGGGAGGGTTTGGGCTGAACCTTGCCCATCCTGTAGCAACCGATGATTCTGGCCACAGCCCATGCCTGCCTGCCTGACTCCCCACAAAGGGATTGCAGCCTGCTCTGTGCTGCAGCCCTTGCTCGACATGGCTGGTTTCTTCCCTAGGTCTATATTTGGTTCCTGCTGACTCTTCTGTGACATAAATGCAAATGAGACCACAGACAACTAGCCTCAAAGCCAAGGAAGCCACTGGCTGGAGTTGTCTCCACAGTCCCCTGCTGGGCAGGGAAGTGGGCAGAGGTGATGGTCACGCCCATCTGTCAGGGCCCATCAGGGGAGGAGGCCTCTTGGGGCCACTGACACCTCCAAGTGGCCAAAAAAAGATCATAGCCAGGAGGCAGAGCCTTAGACTAACCAACAAGAGCTTCCCGCATGGCTGACGACAGTTTCCCAGGTTCTTTCTTACTCACTGGGACCTTAGTTCAAAGGTGATCCTGTGTGGAGTCCTGGAATATAAAGCAGAGTGGTCCAGGGCTTACCTCCTGCCCTGAGGCCTTTTCACCAAACCTAGGGCTCCTTAGGGCACAGTAGCTTGAAAACCACTGACCCACAGGATGTGACTCAAACTTCTAAAGCTCTCACAACTCTCCCCTCCTTCTCCGTGACACTGCTCCAATCCCACCTCTGGGTGTACCAGATACCTCCTGCTCCCGCATTGGCCCTTTAGTATTTTGATACTAGCTGCTTTGTCAAAACTCCTTCAAGATCCCCACTAAGATACTGCCTCCTCCAGGAAGCTTATTGCTACGATCTGAATATTTATGTTCCTCCAAGATTCTATTCATCTGCTCAAACCTAAACCCCCAAGGCTCTGGTATTAGGAGGTGAGGCCTTAGAGCAGGGATTAGGTCATGAGGGTGAAGCTGTCATGAATAGGATTAGTGACCTTATAAAAGAGGCTCCAGGGAGCTGCCTTGCCACTTTCACCATGTGAGGACATGGCGAGAAGATAGCCGTCTGTGAACCAGACAGCAGGCCCTCACCAGGCACCAAATCAACTGATGCCTTGACCTGGAACTTCTCAGCCTCCAGAACTGCCAGCTACACATTTCTGTAGTTTATAATCACCCATTCTATGACAGTTTTTATAGCAGCCTGAAAGGACTAAGAGGATTACTTTGACCTCTTCCCCCCACCCACCTACATGGGCAGTGGTCTCTTCTTCCCCTTTCTGTGCTGTACTCTGTCCTCCTCCCCATCACAGCCTTCCTTCTGCTGTGTCTGAAGCACCCGTTTCCCTGTTTGTCCCACACACAAGTCTCAGCTCCTTCAGGGCCTGGTGGTGTTCCTCCTCTGCGTTTCCTGGGCTGGACCCTCATAGGTGCCCCATCAGAACCGCTCATTGCAGACCCGAGGCAGCCAGTAGGTGCCATGGCTCCCTGGACTCTGTGGGTGTGATTTGGGCAACTTGAATGTGTTTAGGATCCAGCCATGGCTCCCACTGAGGCCACATAAAAGGGCTGAGTTGGAGTCATCCCTTAAAAGGGAGGCCCAGGGAAGACACAGGCCGCCACCCCAGGGCCCCAGGGTCCCCTCCGTGTTTATGACATGGCCTCAGAACATGGAGTTTACAGGCCACGAGCAGCATGAGGCCCTTGGACACAGTCCTGGCCATCCCCTCATTGACCCTCTCCCCGAGCCCAGCAGGAAGCAGGCCTCTGTTCCAGGACTTTGGGGCAAAAGGTCACTTCCTGGACCAGGGTAACTACGGCAACACCAGTCCCCTGACAACCTCGGACTAGTAAAGTGTCCTCATAGCTCTGATTTTGTCTAAATTTATCATTTCAGGCTAAGGAAGGTCTTGTACTGGTTTTAGAGCCCTGGACGGAGCTCCAGACGACCTGTGCCTTGCTTGTTCTACCACCGACTTGCTGGGAGTTTCAGCAAGACTTCACCTTCCGCGTTGGCGTTCTCAGCTCTAAGAAAAGGAAGTTGATTTCCATGAGAGGTGATCAAACTGTGCTGTAGAAACCTCAGCGATTCCACAGAACATTAGAGTACCTCTGCCAAGCAGAATTCTCCACGTGGAGAAACCTCCCCTCTTACTGATTTTATATGCCATGCATGTCAAAGCTCTGGGGAAGATTTTTTTGCTTGAGGAAAAAAAAAAGATTTTTGCTGATTAAAGAAAAACAACCCCGAAAAGTGCTGAATATAATATCTGTGCATTTATTGTGGAAATCTAGACAGTTTGCACTGAAATCATAGATGTTTCTCATAGAATGGGACTAGGAGGATTCAAGGAAAGAAGACCTGCTTCCTGTTTCCCAGCCCGTAAACCCTTGCTGTTGTTTTCATGATTCCTATGGTCCTTCCTGGGTTGTGATGAGAGGCTGGCAGGGGAGCCAGCTGCCTTCTGCCTCAGTGCCTAGAGCCAGGCTCAGCCCTGGTGAGGAGGGACAATCCTGGCTGGGTAGGTCAGGCAGCTAAAAGTCAGGGGTCAGGTTCCCTACTTCAGCGGCCCCTAACCTTCTTGGCACCAGGGAAGACAAAAATCGGAAGACAATTTTTCCACAAACTGGAGATGGAGGGATGGTTTCGGGATGATTCAGGCATTTCTGGTGCACTTTATTTCTATTATTATTATGTTGTAATATATCATGAAATAATGATCTAACTCACCATAATGTAGACTCTGGGAGCCTGAGCTTGTTTGCCTGCAACTAGATGGTCCCACCTTCAGGGGATGAGAGACAGTGACAGATCGTCAGGCATTAGATTCTCATAAGGAGCACACAACCAAGATCTCCTGCATGAGCAAGGGCTCGCATGCACAATGGGGCTCGCGCTCCTGTGAGATTCTAATGCTGCCGCTGATCTCACAGGAGGCGAAGCTCAGGCAGTAGTGCCAGCAATGGGGAGTGGCTGTAAATACACGTGAAGCTTTGCTGGCCTGCTGCTCACCTTCTGCTATGCAGCCCAGTTCCTAACAGGCCAGGGACCGGTACTGGTCTGTGGCCCACGGGTGGGGACCCCCCACTCGGTATGCTAGGAAAGCCTCTTTCCTCCCCATGACTTGGGGTCAATGTGAGAATTTCTATCATGTGAGATTTACTTCTTTGAATATATAATTGTGCTCTTTATATTCTTCTTGTAAACGTCCCCCTTTCATCTCCAAGGAGTACTGAGATGGTCAGCTGAGCTTCTCCCTGGCAAGGGGTCCCGGGAGGGAAGGGACAGATGCCAGGGAGGGTGGTGGGGGGTGGGGGGAATGGGGTGAGGTCAGTGGAAACCAGAGACAAGCACAGGAGCCCACAGTCTCAGCACCATCCCTGGGGGCCTGTGGCCTGCTGGAGATACTGCTAAACCCTGGTGGATATGTGTCTATTCTTTTCAGACTCCCGGCAACCAATCGGGGCCAGTAACTGGTGCTGTTGGGATTCTGGAACAGGAACTGGGGCAAGAAGATGGAGGAGCTGTCCTGGCCCCAGGGTGAGTGAGGACACAGCAGTACCCACAAGTCCCACTCTTCCTCCCTCCCCCTGCCCTGGAGCAGGGAAGTACATCCCATGTTGGCAGTCTTGCCAGCCACAGGCAGCCAATGGATGCCTGCTGTCCCAGCAAGCTGCCTGGGCTCATGCCCAGTTAGGGATGTGGCCTGTGTTACCCCAATTGTCCAGGCCACCCAAGGCAGGCAAATGAGCTTTAGGTATTTTAAAATCAGATTTGGATACACACCAAACCGGGATGCTATCTCTGGAGACAGGCTGGGATTGTGGACAGAGGTCAAAGGGGCTTTGAGCCTTATCTGCCATGTTCCATTTTATTTTCAAGGAAAATGTATTCATGGACTTCTTGTATAATACACACACACACACACTCTCTCTCTCTCTCTCTCGTTTTTTTTTTTAAAGATCTGACTTTAAAAGTTTACAGTAAAAATAACAATTGTTTTACAAGAGACTCCAAACATGTTCTTCTTCAGAGCTGGGGAGGGACTGCCTGATTAGCACTGTGCCCTTGATATGCCAGCATCAGGTCCAGCTCCTCATGCCTCAGTTTCCCCATCTGTTCCCCAGGGAGACAGGCCTGATAATCTCCAAGGTTCTTCCAGCCCTGCCATCAAGTGACAAGAAGCTCCACTCTGTGAAGTCACAGGCAGTCTGCCTGCCTTCGTTCCTTGGGAGCCTTAGTTACAGCAGTGAGAGCTGATTCCAGATGCGAGCCCTAAGGGGCCTGAGAGGCGAGCCCTTGGGGGCTCTTTGGCCAAATCAGCTAAGCTTTCTTCCTGGGGAGAGTAATGCAAGGCCTCAGAAAGCTTCAACAGCCCAGCCTCTGTGCAGTTGGACCAAACGCTGGCCTTGTAGCCTGTCAGTCCCTTTACTTGCCACGCTTGGGAATGAACAACCATGATCTACGGGTGTCATTAAGACAGAGATGGTCTGGTTAGGAACACTGGCCCAGTGACCCTGCCCCTGGCACCAATCACTATGACAACAGCTCAATAGGGTCCCAAGGGCCTAAGAATCCTGCTTCTACTGAGGGCGAGGTTGGCTGAGGTCAGACAAAGAGGGATTAATAGAGCCCTGTTCTCGTTAAACCACAAAGCGCCATTATTACAAGTTGCGACAGCCCTAGCAGGAGATGTATCATGCTTTCAAGTCACAGAGAACCCAGCAAACCAAAGAGAATGGTTCCAGCATCAGCCACAAAGTCACCCTGGGACCCGGAATCAGAGAAGGAGCAGAAAAATCTGAAATAACACAAATGTTCAACAGACGTTTGCATAACACACAGACCAGCCATAAAATAGCACGGACTGTGGACATTCAAATGATGATGCTGATTGTATTTTCTACATTAAAATCCTCATGATATGTGGAAACAAGTTCACAAAACCTGTAAATAAGCAACATTTTTGTTTAAAAACTCATATACATATGTATAGACAGTGAAAACATAGTAGAAAAATATTTCAAAATGGGTGTAGTTATCTTTGAAAAGTAAGATCGTGTGTAATTCTTTTTCTTTTGGTTTATCTGTATTTTCATAAAAAACATTTATTTCTCTTGCATTTCAAAATTTTTTTTATTCTTTTAAAAATTGGTGCAGAGAATTCTATGGTGGAGTGGTCATTCTTTGCCTCTGGAGTCGAACTTCAGTTAATGAAACCCACAAGAGGGCACTGTTTTGGAGAGTGAAATTTTCTTTTACACTAGTATTTTATTAATTTAAGTACTAATACTTAAAAATTTGTTTTACATTAGCCAGTGTATAAGAAAATTATTCTAAATAGTACCGCATATTCTCATGCCTTCTTGCAATTGAGTACAATAAAAATAGTTTATCATTAGCTTCATCACTGTGAAGGGTGCAGATTCTACCATAACACATAATATGCTGATTTTTAGGGCTTTTGGCTAAGCAGAAGGGTTTGTATCTACACTAAGCAGCTTCAGATTACTTCCCTTACTGAGTATCCAGATTTGCTTTTCATAATTTTCCAATTTCTTTCACTACTGATAAACCGTCAGTGTCAGTATTCTATAGCAACTCTTTGCCACTTTAATTTGGTGCTTCTAATCTGCCGTCATCTTGGAAAAACACAATTACTTGTTAGAAGTGTGAGTAAACTGAGAACGCAGATCTGAGGGAGGGTTTG